ATATCAATCAATCTGTAGAATTCTTTTAGCTTTAGGAAGCCTCAAAAGATTTCGAAAAACTGTTGATGCTTCCAAGGGATATACAATAAACACTTTTTGGAAATGTAAAGCAACTTCAGAATGGTGACCACAGCTTTCATTAAAATTTAAATCTGTATAATGACATTGTGTTTTGTATATCTGAGGTCAATACTGAGGCAAGATCCATAAGATCACAGAATTACAGAGTAACAGAACTGAAGAACATAACCAATTGAGATAATTTATGGAAGGAGGAATCATCCATCTGAGCTCTTTGCATAAAAGTCCACTTAAATGTCTATGACACCACTAAACAGAAAAAAAAAACCTCACCAAAAAGGACCTGGACTCTAGTCGATATTTAGGACCAATTACAGATTTTTAAATTTGTAAGATTTTTGTCCTCCATTGGAAACAGACTGAGAGAGACAGCAACAAACTCCACATCAGCTGCTCCAAAAATTTTAGAATTTATTCCCCATCTGTTTAATTTACTAAACCTCACCTTTAAGATGGTATGGTTTGGATTCAAAGTGCAAAAAAGAAAAATAACTACAGCCTGATATATGCATTTTCACTTAACTGATAGTAGTGAATCACTGTATAGGATAACAGCAGAACAAAACAAAACAAAAACCCCAGAACTGTAAAAAAAAAATTCCTTTACCTTGTTCTTGCTTAATCCTCTCTCTTTCTGCATATCCTGCAGTCAGCATGTTGATTCTGTTAAGCCACCTGAAAAAACAACTATTAAAATCAGTAACACTGCAATTGAATTTCGTATATTTTACTTTTAAAAATATTTATTTTAAGGATAAAGATGTGGTATATATACAATGGAATATTATTCGGCCATAAAAAAGAATGAAATCTTGCTATGTGCAACGGCATGGATGGAACTAAAGTATATTATGCTAAATGAAGTAAGTTAGTCAGAGAAAGATAAATACCATATAATTTCACTCCTATGTGGAATTGAAGAAACAAAAGGAATGAAGTGGGTAAAAAGAGAGACAAACCAAGGAACAGACTCTTAACTGTAGAGAACAAACTGATGGTTACCAAAGGGGAGGTGAGTGGGAGGATGGGTAAAATAGGTAATAGGGATTAAGGAGGGCACTTGTTGTGACGATTCCTGAGTAATGTGCCGAATTGTTGAATGACCATACTGTACGCCTGAAAGTAACACTGTATGCTAACTATACTGGAATTAAAATTTAAAACTTAATAAAAATGTTTATTTTAAAATGTTTAAGAATATATGAGATAATTCTACATAAAAGATGTGTTCTTTGCTATTCTTGACACATCGAGCTTTCAATGAGCTGTATAATTTGCTGTGGTATAAATTGCTGCCACACTACAGATGATATTTCGATAGAAAAGTCTTAAGCAAACCTGTAAATATATGTAATATAGAGGGTTTTAAGATGATCAGAGCCCTATCAATTCTGTTGCTCCAAATTTAGAAGCAGTCCAAATATTTCTGCTGTTTGTTTCTTCAGAACAAATGCTCTTTTAATATAATATATACTGATGAGAAAAAAAGTTATGGACCTTGCCGGTCAAAATAAATTTCACTATGAAGTATTAGTTTTGATGAAAGTTATTTAAGTTTAATGTTCCAGGGGGAAACACATCTTGGGAGTACTTTGGAAATTTGTCTCTAAATACAATTTGTTTTCTAAAGACCAAATGAGCAAATACAATTTTAACCTCTATTTAGATCTTAAAAACTTATTTCCATGAACAATAGTAACTTAAAAATAAATCTTAGTTCTTTCCTCTCTCAGTAGTGATGTTATTTCCAATGTTTTAATCTCTATCTTTTGTTCCACCAGGTCTCTCCCTGTGTTAGTTATTCCAGCTCTTTATACTGTACCAGATGATCAAATCACAAAATCTTTAAATTAACCTGACAATTTCCCATTAGCCTATTCTGAGGTATGATCCATATATAATTTCCTAAATCAGAAATTGAGGAAAAACCCCTCTTCCAAACTACCTCAAGTTTGGAATCAATACTATAGTTAACATCATTAAACTGTGGAATAATCTGATCAAGATATATTTTTAAGAAAAAATTGTTTGAGAACTTTTTCTCCCAAGAGCTTATCTACTGTGTCAAATGAAAGATGATGCTTTTTTCGGTGACTCATATATTTCATCATTTATGCCCAGTAGTATTAACTGTGCAACAGATAGTTAGAATATCTTGGAAAGGGAGGAAAGTTGTGTCTCTAATTGACAAAATCACATCCGTGGAAATTTAAACTTCAATGTTAAGAGTAAGTCACCTAAAACCCAACTTCATTTTGAGAAAGCCTACAATGTAATTAACACCTCAAGTATTTTGGGGAAGTGAAGAAGGGAGTGGAACATAAAGGAAATAAAATAAAGATTGAACAAATAAATTCAGTAGCAAAAAATTACAAGTTATAAGTTAATAAGTCAACTTCATGATGAGTGACCTTTAAAAAATGACTCTAATCTTAGTAAAAAGGTCAAAATTGAAATTTAGTCTATAGGTCATTTGTAGTGAGAATGGGGTTGAATTTGTACTACAAGACAAATCTTAGCACTCTTAGGAAAGATGTGCCTGGCGCTTTTGGGGTGAAAATGATGATAACAGTACTACAGGAACATATATTAGTGAATTTTAATGAAGTACCTCAAATTGACTATTATTTTTTAATATAGATAAACCTAGACATTGTTTTATTTATTTTTTATTTTTTATTATAACTTATTGTCAAATTGGCTTACATACAACACCCAGTGCTTCTTTTTTTTAATGTTGATTCATTTATTTTGAAAGAGAAAGAAAGCGTGAGCAGGGGAGAAGGGCAGAAAGAGAGGGAGAGAATTCCAAGCAGGCTCTGCACTGTCAGCACAAAGCAGGATGTGGGCCTAGATCCCAGTAACTGTGAGATCATGACCTGAGCTGAGATCAAGAGTCTAATGCTTAACTGACTGAGCCACTCAGGTGCCCCCCCCCCCTCCTTTTTTCTGAGAGAGAGAGAAATAGAGAGAGAGAGAGAGCGCAACTGTGCAAGGGGCAGAGAGAGAGACAGAGAGAGAGAGAGAGAGAGAGAGAGAGACAGAGACAGAGAAGTGGGACTCACCTGGGGCTTGTGTTTTTTTGTTTTTTGTCTTTTTTTTTTTTTTTTTTACCCTAAGCGGGACTGGAGCTCATCTGAAACGGGGCATGAGCTCACATGAAGCGGGGATCATGCTCACCTGAAGTGGGACTCGTGTTCACCTGAAGCGGGGATCATGCTCACCTGAAGCGGGGCTCAAGCTCACCCAATGTGGGACTTGAACTCACCAACTGTGAGCCGAAGGCAAATGCTTAACGATGAGAACCCCTCATATTGACTATTATAAAAAATATCACTGAAATTTCATTTTGTCAGAAGTTTAAAGAACAATGAGGTCTTTATGAGATGAATTAGGAAACTAAGAAAAAGGCTTCTTTGATTTTTCAGTTCAACAAATTTACTAAGTGCCTGCTATATGCTGAACAATGAGCTATGTTTTGGGGGCACAAAAATGAATAAGACATAATTCCTGCCTTCAATGAGTTCCAGAATTGCTAAATGTCATAAAACAATTGAAAAATTAGCCTACTTTTAGGAAGAAAAATTCTGTTCATGATAAAAACTCTGCAGAAAGTATGTGGATAAACTCAGGTCAGTGTGCATAGGCACAAAAGGCTGAACACTACACAGTCGTTGGTACTGTCTTCGGTAAACTTGTCCTCAAGGCCTCAACTAGAAGAGGCTTACCTATATACTTGCTGCAGTATAATTTGGTATTTATAGGCCATTATAAACAGCAGATACATATGCATTAACTGAGTCAGGTAATATTTATTGAGAACCTATGTCTACAAGGTACTGTTATTCTAAGCTCCAAGGATAGAGAGAAACCAAACAAAGTGCCTGCCTTCTCAGGAGACTACATCTTAGTGAGGGCAACAGATAATAAACAGGGATACAAATAAACATATGTCAAGTAGTGTCAAGTGCCATTTACAAAAATAGCAACGTAAAAAATTAGAAAGTCAAAGGTGCTAAGGATGGGGGGGGGCGGTTAATTTAAGAAAAGGTGGTTAGGGATACAAGCACTGAATTCAGTGACGGGGAAGGGCTTTGATATGAGGTCCACATTCAGCACCTTATCCTGTCACTGATGCTTTAAAACAAGACAATATAGGTAAGGGGATATTGAGCCTTCCCATGAAGCTATCAATAACTAACAAAGAATAATGTATTGAGAGGAAAAAAATGAGTACAAACTATGGGAAAAATGTCCAAAGAGTAATTACCAAATAGAAATGAGTGAATCCTCACAATTATAAAGACCTAAGTGCTGACATAATAAGGAATATATAGGCCAAATGAATTCAGTAAATAAGTCTCAGAATACTTGAGAAACATGATATTTTGTTTTATTCCCACAGATTTCACAAAGACTGGCAAAAATTTTTTTTTCATGTTTTAATGCTCATTTCTGAGGAGGAAACAGATGGATGGTGGGGGGGGGCCTCCAAAGTATTTTTGCAAATTACCTCACAATCATACTTACAGTTGGTCAAAAAATAGAAGGTGAGATTTAAATATTTCACGCTTGTGTATATGTATACATATATATGTATATATATATGCATATATCTGGGTATATGTATATACATACATATATTTGGGTATATACAGGTACATGTAATTAAATTTACTTTATATCTCTTGTCAAAACTTGCACTATATTTTTAAAATGTAGGGGTGCCTGGGTGGCGCAGTCGGTTAAGCGTCCGACTTCAGCCAGGTCACGATCTCGCGGTCCGTGGGTTCGAGCCCCGCGTCAGGCTCTGGGCTGATGGCTCAGAGCCTGGAGCCTGTTTCCGATTCTGTGTCTCCCTCTCTCTCTGCCCCTCCCCCGTTCATGCTCTGTCTCTCTCTGTCCCAAAAATAAAAATAAACGTTGAAAAAAAATTTAAAATGTATATGATACTTTTTGGAAATTAAGAAATAACCAGATAAAGCTTATAGCTATGATTAGCATAATTATAATATCATAAATATAAAATCTCTGAAGACTTAGGTACATTCCTTTAAAAGATTATATATAGCATGAACCAACACCCAGATTATCTTGCTGTTAAGTAACAATCAGGTTCCTGAACAAAATCTTTGGAGGGGATCTCTCCCAACCTCTAATCCTCTATTTATTTACAGCACTGAGTCCTCCCGTCTATTAACAAGTAATTTTTAAGAACTTGCCTGTTGAAAGTAGACATTGGGAATATGATTATAAAAAAAAAGAAAAAGAAAAATATAAAAGTCCATTATACTTAAAGTTTTAAAAAAATTCAGTATTTCAGGACAATTTAATTCTGAAGTTTCTAGTGCACCATAGCAAGGCTTACATAAAACAGCACTTTTAAATGTATGATGTGGAGATGACATATTTGATCAGTTTCACATTTTCACTTTGACTCATTGCTTAGAAAAAACAACAAAAACAACAAAAACAACAAAATGGGTTTGCTTTAGCTTCTATGATATCCTGAATCAGATACATCTATAGGATTATTAGGGAAGAGCAGTGACATGACACACTTTTGAAGTTATTGCTAACACAGGGCAGGTAGAGACCAGGCATGGTTTCGTACTTCATAAAAAGACCATGATTAGCATGTTTCATGAATAATTAAATCATGTTAATTCTTAGAGATGGTTGTATTCTAGTGTATCCATCTTGTAAAATAGAATAATGCTCATTTTTACCACTTATTTTCTGTTTGGTCATGATGTAAACCCCTCATATTCATCCCAAAGGCACTGTGCTCAACATGTGATAAAATAAATAGTGAATAACTAGAACAGTAGAATTATAAAATTATTAAAACAAAAAATAGAGTATCACAACTTCTCCTTACCCCATGTGAATAACATTTTCATTTTGAGAACAAATTAAGGAGAAAAAGCTCTCCAAATTCCAATTGCCTAGTGTGAAATGTCAAGAATGGTAATGTACATCAAAAGAAGATTTTGGGAAGTACAAGAAAGACTCAGTTCCCTTATTAATAATAAAACATTTTATCAAGTGTTCTCAACACTTTTGTTTGCCATTTCCTTGTATTCATATCCTTGCTTTAGGACAAACCATGCCTGTACTCCCAAGTGTCAAAACACCAAGATCATTTATAAAAGCATATTAAGTGTTCATTTAGTGTGCTCAAGTACATTTATAAAGTTGCTCAATTTTGTGCTTAAAAATATCTGGATACTAATTTTTTTGAGACAATAAAGAAAGGTAAATGGGGGCAAAAGCCCAAAATATATGAAAGGGATATACATTGCTAGCAAACATTTACATAGCACTTATAATTGAGCAGGGACTGTTGTAAGCCCTTTATGTGTGCTCATTTGCTCCCGACAAAAGTCGTTTGGGTAGAGATTATTATTATGTCCATTTTTCAAGGGGTCAATACCTGGCATAAAGAGGTCCAGTTCTGTATCCAGGATCACACAGCTAGTAAGTGTGAGATCTGGGATTTGGACAGTCTGGTCCCAAAGTCTATTCTCTAAATCACTATGCTGTGCTGCCTCTCCCTAACTGTTGGCAAGTTATGTATGTAATATGTACTGCCTGCTAAAGACCTGTAAAAAGGAAACATCTGAATCTTAAACCTAATTTCTATAAATCTAGAAAAGAGAGAGGGGAAAGGAAGGAAAAGGAAGAATCAAATTCATAAATGCTAAAGTGGGAAATCTGAAGCAGAATGTTGTAGATGATGGAAATTTATATATACACATACATATATTTTTCCCCCCACAGGTCCATATGACCATGTAGCCAACCATCTAAAGTTTATTCATTCATTTTGAAAGAGAGAGAGAATCCCAAGTAGGCTCTGTGCTGCTGGTACGGAGCCTGACACAGGGCATGAACCTACAAACCATGAGATCATGCATCACCTGAGCTGAAATCAAGAGTTCGACACTTAACCGACTGAGACACTCAGGCGCCCCAACCATGCAGCCATCTAATCACTTGGCTGTATAACCTTGTTCAGTGATAGAAGAAAGGTTACAGAAAGAAATATTAACTTTGTTTAGGACTAAATAATTGAGATGGATGTTATGTCATGAATACCCAGCACTTGGAAGAGTCAGGTTTTTTGGTGAGTATCTTTTTTTTCCCTCCACCTGGGAACACATTTTAAGACATATCTTTAAAAAATTTTTTTAAATGTTTTTATTTATTTTTGAAGGAGAGAGAGAGACAGAGCATGAGCGGGAGAGGAGCAGAGAGAGAGGGAGACACAGAATTTGAAGCAAGCTCCAGGCTCTAAGCTGTCAGCACAGAGCCCAACATGGGGCTGGAACTCAAAAACTGTGAGATCATGACCTGAGCTGAAGCCGGATGCTCAACTGACTGAGCCACCCAGGCGCCCCTGAAGACATATCTTGAAATGGACTTCTAAAAAAATCTTTTATTTTTTACAGTGGATTTTTTTGGTCTATATATGGATTCAGGCATATTTTTGGTAAACCTGGTAAACAGTCAACAAGTTTATTTTGACTTTTAAAATGCTGTTCTCTGAAGTTAGGTATGGCTACATGCAGCAATGCCTGAGTCCATTTTATTTTAAACTGATGTACCACAGTGACATTATTCTCTAAGCATTAATATGGAAAACTTAGAATTCTAAGCCTAACTGACTTTCTAAGTACTTTGAAATTTTAGTAACACTTTACCTGTTCATATCATCAAGATGCTCAGCAGCAAAATAAAAGCTTTTGATTTTAGGATGACAGGCTTTGAATGCACTGCAAAAGGAAACAAAGTATATTTATTTTATTTCAAATTGGAAAATAAGTTAGAACCAAATAATTTTTATAGATAAAATTACCTCAACATCTAACCTGAATTCACATATATAATGCTTATGCCATGATGACAGAAATCAGTAAAAAATTCAATTTTCTGCTCATAAAACTGCTTTGTTTTTACCTCAATTTGAAAGCATTAGAGAAGTGACCTATGATTTAAAAGCTAGAAATAAAAAAAAAAAAAAACAACAAACACCCTTCCCTTCTCTCCCTCTCCCCAAATAAAATCAACTTACTATTTCTTGCGGCATTCACTGGCTCTGTCAATTTTAAATTCGGGCAGACTGATGAATCCTTCTGCTTTTTCATCCTAAAGAGGCAACAATCTTGTTCAGGGTGTTATACACATAGGTTTGAAGCTGATAATACTATAGACCTATACCTTAAAAATATAAACTAATAAATTTTTTTACTTAATGTCTTAAATTTGACATTTTAGAGATTAGAGTTCCACTCTTACTTGTTATATTCCATTAAACTGAAGATATATTTTGAACATTTAGAATAGTACAAATTAAGATACACACAGAAATTCTGAAAAATCCTTTTTATATTAGAATGAAGATAGAAAACTATTTAAATTCTCAAAATGAAACATGATTTATGAGTAATTTTCTCACCAGAATGTATATATACTTTTATAACGTATAAAAATAACTTCAGTCCACATTCACCATTCACAATTTTCTGTCACTTTTAATGTTCATATGTAAAATATATCGATGTTTACTAATTCAATTCCTTTTCTGTCTCCAAAAAAATCTTTTATCAAACCTGAATTAAATATGTTGTATAGTCCAGATTTTATAAATGAAATAAGTTGATTTTATCTTCAAATATCTAGCTTGGTATACATGCTATATATATAAAGATCATTTTCCACTTGGAAAATTGAATGAAATCCTTAAAATCTTCCTCTCTCTAACGTGGGATGGAAAAACAAGATAGGAGAATTATCCAAAATCTTATGTTAGATACAAATTATTCCAAGTAGGCTAAGACTACCCTTGGCTAAATCCTTTCATTGTTGTCCTTTTCATGCTCATGACCAAACTCCTCAGACTTTTATTCTCCCAAACTTTTTGATCTGTGCTGTATCAGTTAATGGCTCCTTATATAACAAGTTCAAGTGAGGTTACACCCCCATCTGCTAACCTTAAAGAAAAAAAAAATACAGATTCTCATTCTTTTAGTGTGCGTGTATGTATAAATGTAAAACTTAATAAAAATATGATATTACTGATAGTGACTGAAATGTGTCATAAAAAAGAGAGTATTATAACTTTTTCAATATTTTTTTAGTATTTGAGTATTTTTTTCTTCCAATCTTGGTAAATAAACACAATAGTCTCAAATCTCTTTCAACTTTGATTTCTGTTATGTCAACCTTGATGTCTTTTAACTTAAAAATTCTATATTTCAAACAATTTAAAATATTTCGGGGGATAGATACAATCTTCCCATAATGATGTGATGAGAGATTTCTCCTAAAAAATCACACTAAGTTATTCTTACAGTGTATACTAGGGAATTATTCACTCACTTCTCACAAGGCTAACACAGTAATACCTCTGATCGAAACTTAGCAACTGTTCAATAAAAAAGGGCCTCAGTTTTTAATCTCTTGAACTTTGAAAGAATATGATATAGCATACAGCAGAGAAATCTACAAGTGACCTTAAAATAAAGTGAAACAGAGGCTATATTTGGATAATACTTGATTGGCATATAAAAAGTATTTGATATATGTTAAATGAAAATGTTGGTAAAATTGTTTTCTATATCTAAAATAAGATAGACTTAGTGAAATAGAAGATTTTTTGGGTAATTATGTGATTGGCACAAATAATATCAAAAGTGCAGAAAATAACCAAATCCTTTTATATAATATAGGCATTTGTATTAAACAGTGAAAGATTAATTTGAGATTTTACAAATGAAATTAGAGGTCAATTTGAAAAGTATTACTAATAGCATATGTTTAGTGAGTATTGAATGGATGCCAAGCATTGTTCTAAGTGGGCTTTACATGAATTGATTCTTTTCATCCATATGATAGCCCAGTGAGCTCGGCTCCATTATTACTCTCCCTCTTTGCAAATGAGGAAATTGATGCATAGTAATTCAGGTGGGTTAATTCTATTCTCTAAACCATAACAAACATAACTCCTCTACATATTTTATGTTATAATCGTAAGCATAATTATATTGTTAAATTATATTTCAAAAATTAATATTCAAATGCAAACTGATGAATACCTTAACATAATAGTATTTCTGTAAGACTAGTCAGCACACTATGTTAAACTATGTACATTTTTTGAGAAAACAAGTTAACAATAGAAATTATTGTTAAAAAAACCTTAATAAGGTGAACTGACAGATGGCTATGGCAAAAGAGTGAAAATGAATGCGGAGTCAAAGAAAATATCAAGGAATAAGGTATACTCTTGTGCCCCTGTTGTGATAGGTGGTAGGTTATAATATAACTACTCTGAATAAAGATTTGTTTACTACAAATGAAACAGGAATTCATAAGAACAATTTAAATATATTATATATACTCCCCATCCCCATCCCTCAATTGGGTCAAATGAATACTTGCAGATTTTCAAAACTAGTCTTCTAGTTCACATATTCTTTAAGAAAAACAAATAAGTTCATGCAATATTAATTTACTTATATTATTAGAGGACATCTTCCAAAAACAAACAGAAAAAAATAGAAAACTTTGAACAAAAGTGAGACATTTAAAAATCTATTTCAAATTTCCATGTATAATCCTTTTAGTTAAGCTATTGCTGGAATTAGTTTGATATTTCTAATTAGATACACAGAATTTTGTCTGTTTCATATAGGCTGCCACATTAGAATAATTGAGACAACTATCTTTCCAGAACTCCCAAAGTGCAATCATTTTAAGAAGGCAGATTAAAAAATAAGTAGTGGCACTCTCCTGGATTAGCATTAAGGTGGTTATATGATTTGAAAATCTAAGTCTCAAAATGGTGATTCTTTGGGTTAAAGATAGAAAGTGGATCAGAGAAAAATATGTTTTATCTTACCTCCTCATTAATATACCAATATAGAGATGCATCCTTAAGGACAAACCAATATTTCTTCCATTTCTGTGAAAAATAACTCTTTGCATCTTTCTTTTTCCAAAGCCAACCTTCACAGTCACCTCGTCCAAGATCTTTGCAAGAAATTCGTCTTTTGCTCTTGCCAGCTATAGGACCTAAAAATAATAGTAGGTAAAAGTGCTCTTTTAATTTTATACAAGTGTGAAGGTAGAAGATTAATCTATAGCTCATTAAAATAAGTCTGGGTATTTAACAACCTTAAAAATTCTTATTTTTACATTGTATCAGAAGAGAAAACTATGGAAATCTTTAATACCTTCCTCTCCCCAGATAAGTGACATGCAATGTAATCAGAATTGTGTAATCCCAGTGTCAAACCCTGTTGAGACCATTTATTGTAAAAGGTACCCCTAGCATCACAATTGAAGGAGGAGCTGGTCTTGGCAGCTCTTACTAGGGAGCTGTGCTCTTGCAAACCACAATGGGCTCAGGCAAGAGAGGATGGGCAAAGTATGCTGGTGACTATCACGGTGCAAAATAAGCAGCTATATATTTCATTTCACTTCCTTTCCTTACCTTTGTTTTTCTTCTTTGATTTGTGCTGCAGAGAGGACTGCTGAAATGTCTGAAATCCAAGATATGGAAGAATGTTATTTGATACTCAGGATGCCATCCACAGTGCTAACATGCTGCTAAGAACTCTCAAGAGTTGAACGATGACTCTGAACCCAGGTCAGAGAAAGCATTTTCTGTTTCCAAAGACTCAAAACAAATTCATACATATCATGGCAATTAACTTTCTAATCTCACATGAAGCAGGACAGGTTATTATCATTATCTTTCTTTTGTAGGTAGACAAATCAGGACATAAAGCAGTGGTGAAACTCAGGGCTCTTATATAAACACAGTACTACTTTTTACCCCTTTTTAAGGGATTTATTGTGCTTTCTCAGGCAATATCTCAATTGATTCTCATAAAGTCTTATGAAATAGTCAGGCAAATATGACTACCACTTGTTATTTTGAAGTTCATTCTCTTCCATAAGCCACCAGCACCTACTGATCCTCCTAGGCACTCCCCCTCAGTTGCTAAATACTGCAGCACTTGAATCAATATTTTCTTCTCACACCTACTTCTGTCGCTATTACTGGTAACTAATCTTCATGTAAGTGATGTCAGTACCCTGGCTCCTCAGTCCCTCATCTCCAATGATCTTTACTTCTCTCCTCAGCTACCCATCCTTCTGACAATGTTTGTTATCTTAAGCAGACTCCAACCACTGCTTCTATTACCTACATTTTATGTAGCCCAATAGTTCCAACCCAGTAATTTTTAGCAAATTTTCATTGAGGCATCCATTTCATTAACCTTGCCACCCTTTTGTGACTTTATTATTTCTTTTTTCTCAGTTATCATGAGATACCATTATAATCATTCCCTTGAGCCATGCTCTCTCCATCATACTTGCCTAGCTAAATAGGCAGTTTAGCTGCCTGTTAAATCAGTTAAACCTGCCTGTCTACTCCATGCTAACTACAAGAAAAGCTTAATGTCTTAATAGAAAAACCCACAGCTGTATTGACTGGTCTAGCTTTCAATGACTATAAATCACTGGTTCCAGTCCGATACTAAGTCAGATGTTAAGCTACATTGTTGTTCACTGGTATAATAAGGTTAATTGTGTTCATATGATTAGCTAGCTAACAGAGTATAGAGATAACATGTGTAATTTCAATTCATAGATACTCCTTTGAAATGAATTTTAGGTACCTAGAATCTTCTTTTCTTTTTTTTTTTTTTTTAAAATTTAACGCTTTATTTATTTTTTGACAGATAGTATGGCTGATAGAAGTGTACGAAGTGAGGGCGAGAGGAGAGGGAGACACAAAATCAGACTTAGTGTTCCAGGCTCTGGAGCCATCAGCCCAGAGCCCGGCCAGGGCTGAACTCCGCAGGACCCATAGTCGTGACCTGAGGATTTAGTCGGACGCTTAACCGACTGAGCCACCCAGGCGCCCCTAGAATCTTCTTTTCTTTACAAAGGTATGCCTGTAAGGGGTAATTGGATTTTGCTTACATAAAATTCACTTGTCTTGGTTTTATACAACACATTTGTATTCTGTGACATACTTTCTTGTTTGGTATCTTTGTCCATAAGATAACATTCTACTTACAATAGCAATTTTCTTGTTTTGCATATGGTTTACTTAATTCTCATGAATATGGTATTATGGGTGGGTACCAGTCCTAAAGGTAAGTAGCATATAATTTGCTGATGTACAGCATAACCCTGAAATAATCACCCAAGTGTCAAAGCAATAGAAACATGTATGCACGTGGTATGTGTGTGCGTGTGTTTACAAAACTTTGCAGGATACATGGCTATGGAAATTCATAATCAATTTTTCAGAGAAAACATAAAAGATAAAACTCATTATGCTGTGTTGATTTTCCTGAGTGCACTTTGCTCCAAAATAATAACTCAGGGTAGTGTGCTTAAGTAAAGGTAACTTACATATCGTGATTTCCCCTAAATTGTTAAGCTGTAAAATTACTGATTGGTTATTTTCTTTTTGTGTTTCCACAAGTAGTCATTATAATCTTATGGCTGATAATTTTTAAAAATGACAAAGATGGGGTGGTTTGTTTTTAGGAAGCTACATGGACAAAAGACAGCTTGAAAGAACTGAATTATAGAAGGTACCTCCTATGCCTTTTGCATGCTATTCCTTAGATCCTGGAGGTCTATTTTATTTTATTATTAGTTTTTTAATGTTTATTTATTTTTGAGAGAAGGACAGAACATGAGTGGCGGAGGAGCAGAGAGAGAGGGAGACACAGAATCGGAAGCAGGCTCCAGGCCCTGAGCTGCCAGCACAGAGCCCGATGCGGGGCTCGAACCCCCGAACCATGAGATCATGACCTGAGCCGAAGTTGGACGCTCAACCCACTGAGTCACCCAGGCGCCCCATAGAGGCCTATTTTAAAATCTATACAAAAACGTATTTTATGGTTTCTAGGATTTCTTTTTAATAATATTATCTTTTCTTTCCCCATAAATATATATTCATACTGATTGTGATTACAGTGTACATATTGTTGAAACCCAAGAACTCATACGTACACAATATAGATTTATGCAACATTCAAATAAACAAAGCCATAGATGTCTTTTGTATATACTATATATATATAAAACAATAAAATTATCTTGAGAGATTTTATTATTTGTCCAAGTGATTAGACATTTTCTAAAGTAAAAAAATTAACTGAAGTACAGTAGACCCTTAAACAATGTGGGGTTAGGGGCACTATAACTATGGGCTCCCCCCAAACTTAACTAATAGCCTACTCTTGACCAGAAGTCTCATCAATAATGTGAATAGACAAATAACACCTAGTTTGTATGTTATATGTATTATATATTGCATTCTTACAATAATACCTTTTTCTTATTTTTTTCCAGTATTTCTAAGCAGTGTGGTTTGCCTGTGAGTTTTTTCAAATTGTCACAAATATCTAAATTTTTTTCCTATTTATTGAAAAAAAATCTACATATAAGTGGACCCACGCAGCTCACATATAAGTGAACACGTGTTGTTCATGGGTCAACTGTATATGCTCTTGAAAGTCATAAGAAAAACAATGAAAACTACAGCTAAGGAAATAGGTCTCTGCAGAAAAGAGTTAATACAGCAGGTTTGAAGCTGCTATCTTAGAAGAGCCTGCTTGCAAGGTTGACCCTCAGGTGCCATCTGGGAACTTGGCTGGTAAACAGTTCCCTAAAATGACATGAGATTCACTAAGCAATAAGACGGTTTTGCCCACCCATGGACTAAGCACCTGTTTTCCTTTCAGGAATCTATAGTTTTGTAGTTGCTAGACAGAGGATGTGTACGTGACCAACCCAATACAATCCCTCAGTGCTGAGTCTTTAATGTGCTTCCTTCGCAGAGACACTATACACGTGACCGCATTTTTGCTGCCTGGGTGAGAATGCCCTCTGCATGATCTGTCACAAGGAGAGAGCATAGGAAGCCTGCACATAGATTTCTCCAGATTTCATAGGTGTCTTTTTTCTTTGCTGCTCTGACTATACATCTTTGCTGTGTCACTGCTGTAAATCTTCGCTGTGGGCAGAACTACATGCTGACTCTCATGAGTCTTTCTAGTGAATGTGTGTGATCTTGGGGACCCCTGAAACAGCCTCATAATCAAAAGAGTCTTTACAAACTTATATTAAAAACTGTTCATTGTTCATATGCATAAATAAGTTCCTGACAGTGAAGGTTTTATCATATCATCAGCAAGTGTGATTAAGCACTCCTGAGGTGCAAATTTATAATCTTGTGTAGTCTTTTCTAGTAAAACTGATGGAAATATTCATTCTGAGTGACAAATATTTCACTGGTATCACTTTTTTTGTTTCTAATGACATCATGAAAAATTTAAAATAAGCATGACATTAAGAACAGACACATAACTATAATGCCTAATACAGAAGATCATATAAGATGCTATAACTAAAAAAAGAGAGGGAGAGTGAGAGAGGCCTGGAATCTTTGCTTTCATGATGATGAATGCTTTTCTCCTGACAGTGAAAATTTATAATATATTTTATTTTTGTATTTTTCTTATTAGCTTCAGATCATCCTTCTTCCAGGTTCATGCTTAAGTATATCCTTTAGAAGTTCTTTCATAACAGACTGTGAGTACGAAACTCTGAGATTTTTATGTCTGAAAATATAAAAATCCTTCCCTCTTGAATAATAGCTTAGCTGGGCATAGAATACTGGGTTGAAATTAATTTTCCATCAGCACTTTGAATATATTTGATTTATTTTAGCATTTATTGGTACTCTTAAGACAACTGTAGCTACTCTCTCATTTGTTACAATTTGTCTTTAGTCTCTCTGTAGCTTTTAAAATATTTTTCTCTTTATCCCTGATAATCTGCAATTGTACTATGAAGTGTATATGTTATAATTTCTTTTAATTAATCCTATTTCACATTCATTGTATTGTACTTGAAGATATTATTTCTTTAATTCTCAAAATTCTCATGTCTTAGGTCTTCAAATGGTCTTTTTTACCAGTCTTTTTTCCCCCTGAAGACATATATTGCCACCTCTCAATTATCATCCTTGTATCTTTCATATTTTTTATCCTTTTATATTTCTGCAATGCTTTTTAGGTAAATTCATTCTGATGTCTTCTAACTTCCTAATTCTCTCACTGTATCCAATTCAAAGTTTATTCCACTTATAGAGTGTTTATTTTACGGACTATATTTTATACATCCAGGATGTCTAGTTGGTACTGGCTCTCTAAAAAAATTTTTTTTAACATTTATTCATTTTTGAGAGACAGAGTGTGAGTGGGGGAGGAGCAGAGAGAGAGAGGGAGACACGGAATCTGAAGCAGGTTCCAGGCTGTCAGCACAGAGCCCGACGTGGAGCTTGAACTCACGGACTGTGAGATCATGACTTGAGCTAAGTCAGATGCTTAATAGACTGAGCCACCAAGACGCCCCAGTTTGGCTCTTTTGAATATCCACTGTTTTTTTTTTTTAAGTTTCTTTATTTATTTTGAGAGGGAGAGAACAAGCAGAGGAGGGGCAGAGA